ACCGACACGAACAACCTCGAAGCCCTTGCTCACTCTTGCATTTTCTCCTCGAAGGCAAACTATAATCTTGCCTTTTGCCTTTGTGGGATCAAGTGTTCCATCCATGCAAAGTTGGCTGTAGAAACAGAGTGAAGTTCAAACCAAAGTGCCCTTTGAAGTGGAGAGGTAATATATGTATGTGTATACTCACGCAAACCCATCAGTGGCATTGGCAGCTTTCACTTGCACAGCCTTTATCAAAGGGTAGAACTTACCAGCCGGCAATCGACTGGATGAAAGGCTTGAACCCTTTGGAGTAAACGTAGAGGTTATTTTGATCAGCTCATCAACCACAAACATAATAAGTTTAATGCATTATAGACTAAACCATTTATCAAAGGGTTGTGTGTGATGGATGAGTACCCTTAATTGCTTCTTGTTCCCCAGGGCGACGTAACTGACAAAGTCACGGTCGATGGTACTAGCTCCAACAGTGACCATCCAAGGAGACACATTGCTCACACTCCCGGGAGACGGGCCGTCATTCCCGGCCGAGGAAACCACGACGATTCCGTGTTGAACCGCATGGAACGCCCCTATCGAAATAGCGTCATTAGCAAACTCTTGAGCTAGCGTGCCAATAGAGGCCGAAAGAACATCCACACCGTCGCTGATAGCGGCCTCGATGCCTGCTAAGATATCGGAATCGTAACAGCCGCCATTTTTTGAAGGCCAGCAGACCTTGTAGGCAACAACACGAGCCTTGGGGGAACCTCCTTTCGCAGTCCCATTTCCATTGCCAAACACATCGACTCCATGGACAAAGTTGCCACCCGCAGTGGACAATGTGTGCGATCCATGGCCTTCATGGTCTCGTGCACTGACGAAGCTGATGTTGTGCGTTCTCAACGGACCTTCGGCAGCTTGAAATCCTCGGTAGAAATAGCGTGCTCCAATCAACTTCCTATTGCATCGAAATTTGGAGCCGCCTTCACAAGCTCCCCTCCACCTCGAGGGAACAGGGCCATACCCTGCATCATTGAAGCTCGGGGACTCCGGCCAGACACCTTCACATATATTGTAATAATAGCTCAAGTCTCTTGCTAGCAAATAACAAAAATAGACTAAAAGAAGGGAAGACTTGCAAACCCGTGTCGAGATTCCCTATGATGGTATCTTCCCCAAACCGAGCCGCCTTCCAAATGGAGTTCCGAGGGATTCCTCAATCGCTATCAACCCCCAGAAAACCCCATGATCGTGTTGTATGCAATTTTCTTTCCTTGTTTTCAAAAACCGACACCACGCTTGGATTCTCTATTTGTAGACAATATCATTCGTAAAGTAAGACATTAAAAGCACCAAAATGTAAACAACAAAAATGGGAGAGGAACAACGCTTACTCGCAAGAGCCGTGGCTTCTTGTTCATCAAGAACGGCAGCAAAGCCATTAATGTATCGATTGTAGGAGTAGAGAATTGAGTCTTTGGCTGCTACTTTGCTATGAATCAAAAGGAGAATTGTTAAGCGATTGATATAAAGAAGAAGAAGAAGAGAATGAATTACCTTCCCTTGACGGATCCTAATATATCATATTGAGACTCGGTTGCAAGTTGGACGTCGTATATGCTTGGATTTGGGCCAAAGGAGTGTGATCCCAAATAGACAATGTAGGACTTCTTGATAGGAACAGCCGCTGTTTGGAGCATAAAGAAAAACAAAAGCAATGGAGAAATAACATAAGAAATATAATAACATTTCTCCATCGCTTTTGTTTTTGAAGTCCTATTGTGCTTTTCCCATCCCCAATTGGGTTCTTTATATACCCAAACTCGATCATAAATCATTGGTTCCCTTTAATTTTCCTCGTAAATTAAGCTCATCCATCTGATTATTAAAAAAAAAAAAGAAAATAAGAAGTGATTTTACTCGTTTAAGTATCTTCCATAGGGACTATATATAGCAACAGCCAAACATTATGATAAACATAATGATTGTTTTATGGCCTTGTAACGTACACGTGACTACCATCATAGAAAAGAGGTATTCCTCACATAAATCAATGGTTCCGTCTAATCTTCTCGGGTAAATTAAGCCCATCCATCTAATTATTGAAAAGAAAAAAAAAGTGTTTTTACTAGTTTAAGCATCATTCTATATTTAAGGAACTATGAATAGTGATCGTGACAATATTATGATAAACATAATGATTGTTTTCCTGTAACGTATGTGTGCGTACCATCATAAAAAGGAGGTATTCTCCCGTGCATGAACATACAATGATGTATGAGGTATTTTCATTCATTATCATGTAAAACAACCTTTTCTGTTTTTCTTCATATCATAATTTTTCATACATATGTCGCGGTTGTGCATCATGCCAAAACATCTTGTCGTATGTCATGTATATCATACATCGTGTCATGTCATACATGTATCATATCATAAACATATCGTGTCTCCCAACATGTAATATCATATATGTTACGAATCAGAGAACTTGGGTTTTGCTTTGAGCTTTCCCAAAGGCCCCATACCAATTTATGGAGCTCTCGAACAGCCTCCTCATAATCGAGGCTCAACCCCTTTCTTTGGAGCCCTCAAACAAAATACACCCTTTGTTCGACACTTTAGTCACTTTTGACTACACTTTCGAGGCCCACAATTCTTTGTTCGACATTTGAGGATTTTATCGACATGGTTAAGTTTAGGGCACGGCTCTGATACCATGTTAGGAATCACGACTCTCCACAATGGTATGATATTGTCCACTTTGAGCATAAGTTCTCATGGCTTTTCTTTGAACTTCCCAAAAAGGTCTCATACCAGAGATAGTATTTCTCATTTATAAACCCATGATCTTCCACTAAATTAACTAACGTGGGACTGACTCCCAATAATCCTCAACAATATCATGCATATATCATATCGTAATGCATATCATATCGTCAAACATATCATAATAACATATATCATATTATTCACCTATCATATTTACAATTATATCATATCATAAACATATCGTTTCATAACATTGCGCATATAACAAACATATGACACGTGCAAAGCCATGGGGCACATGTCATCATATAGGATACAATTTCTAACCGAATCTACAGTAAGATCATTTACTTGGTTAGCCTTAGCCAGCGTTCTCCCTAAAATAATTACTTGAGAGCTTGTCCCTCGAATTTTATTCCAAGCATCACCGAGATGTTTTCTATAGAACATTTGCTCAATTCTCTTAATAACCTTAATTTCCTAATCAAGTTTAACTTGAATTGAGGAATTCAACATTCTCCTTAATCGTCTTTGCTAAGGTTGAGCTGCGTATTGACCTTGAAGTCATGTCGAGTTGACGTGTACATAGGTCGAAAGTCGGGTTGAGGCACAAGTGGTTAGGTCAACCTCTCGTCTTCCCCCTCATTCTCTGCATGTTGTGGGCGTCGGGGAGAATGTGGGATGAGGGTGCGAGAATTCTGGCGCCTCGAAATTCTCCCGCCTTTTTCGACTGGGCAACTTTTTTTTTTTTTTTTTT